GGCTTATATGCGGTATCTCACTGCACGTCACTCACTGGTAATGCCCCTAGAGTACCAGATGTGGTTATCTCTAAGAATAGTCTGAGCTAAGTACCGTAGTCACTGAAGTAGTGTCACAGCTGGGTCAGTCTCCTTGTATGATTAAAATGTGTGTGATTGCTGTCACTGGGATGCCTTGTTCCCGGTGCAGCCTCCTACAGATGCCAGGCTTTGTCTCAGCTTAACGCAGAGCTTCGTCTCCCTCTGCAGCCAGAATGGCGTTGTGCTTTCCCTTTCTCCTAGACATCCGGATTGGCATCTGGGTGTTGCCATCACTTTAGTGGTCCTGGTACCTTCCCTCTTGGGTGCTCTTTGGTGCTGTGACTTCCTGTGAAGGACATGCTGGCATGTGGAGCTTAGTCTTTGTTCATCCCACCTGAGGCCACAACTCTCTTAGTAACCTGAATTCAACTGATAAAGTGCCAGCTGCTACCCTAGCCCCACTAAGGCACCGGGTGGCGTAGGGACTAAGGATTGATTCCTGGTGCTAGGATATGAGGATATACACCCGATAGAGCTGCACCCACACACTGAGCTACACTGTAAACCCCAATGCTCAGTGCTTCCTATGCACATCATTGCTTGAGGGTGACCTCCTTAGAAGTGTGGTTAAATATAATTTTCCATTTGCTTTTTCACACAGGAATGAAATAATTGTCTGGCATACTTGAGAGCACTGAGTGCCAGCCACACTGACGTAGCCCACCGAGACTGGGGCTGAACTAGATAGGATCTCTGAGAGGAGTGGGATGCTGACACCCAGTCTGCCCAGGAGGGGAGCTTACCCTTTGGTAGGAGTGGGCTTTCTTTCTCGATGGGGACATCCATCAATATCTGCAGGCAGTTGCTTAAAAAGTGCCTGGCAGCCATGCCCCAGAATTCTGTTGCTTGATCTGCACCTGTGCCCTGGGCCTGTTAATGACCAGAGCCAGCTGCAGCTGGTGGCCTTGGCTTGTGTTGCTGTGTGTGACTTCTGCCACCCACCCTGTCTGACATCTAGATCTATTTAAAGTATAAATATTGTGAAAAAATTTTCAAGAGTCAGATGGTTAAAATGTTTGCTTTCTGACCAGGAGCTCACAATGGTCTGTGTCTGTCAAGCCCAGAGTGTGGAGGGAAGAGGTGGAGAAGCAATGCTCAGGGGAGCTCAGGGGACCGCCAGGGCTCCGCAGACACCTGTGGGGTCCCCTGTGGGGGTGGGTGCTGTGCGAGTGCCCTAGACCCCTGTCCTGTGACCCTGCATGCTGAGTACACAGGTTTCTCATGGGTGCGTCTGACAAGAATGTTTCAGATCATTCTGAGGCAGTGTGTGAGACTAACCTGAAGTTGAGAGAATACAGGGCCCGGAATCTGTGGTCCTGATCAGGGCAGCCGGATGCAGCCTTCAGGCTGTTGACACTTTCTGACTCAACCTAATGCTGGTCCGAAGAATTGCACAGTTCTTATAAAACATGAGGTTTTCGGGCTGGTCTGCATACAGTGGTGTTTAAACTAATTGATCACAACCAGTTACAGATTTCTTAGGCCAGGCATGGTGGTGCACTTTAATCCCCACACTCAGGAGCAGAGGCCAACCAGGGCTTACAAGTGAGACCCTGTTCTAGGGAAAGCATCAGGTTGGGGCTGGGTGTAGTAGTAAGAGCGGTGGGGCTGCATCCCTGGCACCCGGCCGCCCGAACTGCTAGCTTTACCCGAAATAATTACACGGAAACTGTATTCTTTTAAACACCGCTTGGCCCATTATATCTAGCCTTTTCTCGGCTAACTCTCGCACCTGGACTAGCCCATTTCTTATAATCTGTGTAGCCCACGAGCTGGCTTACCAGGAATGATCTTAACCTGCGTCTGCCTGGAGTGGGAGAATCATGGCGACTCACTCACTCAGCTTCTTTCTCCCAGCATTCTGTTCTGTTTACTCCACCCACCTATGTTTTAACCTATGAGGGCCAAGTAGTTTCTTTATTGCTTAACCAATGAAATCAACAGATTGATATATGACACTCCCACATCACTTCCCCCTTTTCTGTTTAAACAAAAAAAGGAAGGCTTTAACTTTAACATAGCAAAATTACATATAGCAAAACAGTTATCAAGCAAGAATTACAGTTACAATATATCTACTTTATCTTTTATCATAACAATGGAAAACTATAACTACCTATCCATCAAAGTTCTTCAACTCCATCAAAGACTCCAGAAGGATATAATATTACCTAAGTAAACAAGAACTAAGAAACTTCAAACTCTAGAAATGACAAAGACATCTTGCTGCCTGTACAGTCACCCAAAGTTCTTTTGTACCGTTGGGGCATCCATCTTCAGCCTTCAGGCCCATAGTATCCAGCAGACATTTTCTTTTTTTTTTTTTCCAAATATTTATTTATTTATTATGTATACAATATTCTGTCTGTGTGTATGTCTGCAGGCCATAAGAGGGCACCAGACCTCATTAGAGATGGCTGTGAGTCACCATGTGGTTGCTGGGAATTGAACTCAGGACCTTTGGAAGAGCAGGCAATGCTCTTAACCACTGAGCCACCTCTCCAGCCCCCAGCAGACATTTTCATCAAGCAGGAAATTCCAGAGACAGTTCAATCACTTTCTGCTGTGTCCTGCAGAATGTCTCGCAGACTCTTTCATGAGTCAGGAACCCCGAAAGACCATCTCACCTTTAGGCAAGTTCAGAAGTCCTCTCTCTGAGGGTTCTCTTTGTCCAGTTTATGCAACAGTCCAGGCAAGAACAGTTTCTTGCCCAAATGGCTATCAAACTCCATAAGGATCCTCTTCGATGCCCATCTTCTTCTTGAAGTAGATTGGTGCTGCCAGGAGCAGAATGTCTCATTGTCATGAAAAGTCCCAAGTTATTAAAACATTAAATGCCATGTTCTGCAGTCTTTGAAAGATATGAAGAATGTCTAACTGAAATGTATCTCTATATATCTAGAAAATCTAACTAACATGACTACAAGCTTGACTATTACTGATGATTATCCATTAACCTATATTTCTTAATTATACATTACATTTTTAATGAACTACACAATCACAATACCTTAATCAATAGCAGAAATATGCATATACCTATAACAAAATTGACCTTAAAATCCATACCAATGTAAATTATTCATATCTATATCATATCCCCCTTTAAATGTAAAAGAACATTTATAAACAATATTTTGGGAACATGGGTGCAGTTTTTTCTCTCCAAACTGCTTCCTGCTGAATGTGGGCGCTGTTAATCAGATCATTTAGGGTGTAACCTGTGTGCCAGGTTTATCTCAGTTGGCAGTTGAGTGAAGTAATTTTTTTAGGGTGTTCACAGGAACTTTTCGGGAGGTCGTGGTCTATCATACCAAATTGGGATAGAAGAAATCCACAGGGTCTGGTCCTCTGTGAAAACAAAAGAAGACCCTTTCCAAAGCATCATATTCTTAGACCCAAATTCTGAAGTCATACCCTCATGATACCCATTTTGGTTCCACTTGGCAGCCCATATAATGAAATGTCTCTCTGTACTTAGCTCCTTCACAGTTAAAAATTTTAAAGAAAGCACAATGTACATAATCCAGACTCTCTGTGAATTTTCCATTTTTACGTGGCTTATTTTTCTTTATTTCTTTTAATCTCTTAACTATCTGTACTCTGTCTCTTTAAAGACTTTACTTTTTTTTTTTTTACCATTAACTTTATTCTCTATATTCTTTTTCTTCTCTCTCTCAAGCCTACGTACATTCATCCAACACTGTGACTCATTTAGTGGTCTGAATCTGTCCTGAATCTGCAATTTTTTACTATCCAGGAGCACTTTTGATTTGCGCCTTTAAATCACTAGGTGCTTAAGAATCTAAGCTGTGACATTCCTAGGTCAAAAACAGGTACTGCCTGCTGGCCCCGCCCAGTCCAACATGGCGGAGCCGCTCGTGCCTCTGAGCTGCAGCAGGCAATGACTTCCTTTAAGGCACACAGCGAGTCTAGTTGCCATCAAACAAATCGTAGCACTTTACTCCAAATGCTCCATTCAAAAGCTCTGTCTCCCGCAGGAGCCAGACAGAGATTGCAATGGCGGCACAGCCCAGAAAGCTGGCATTTTAAAACAGCCAGTTTTTTCCTGCTGCTGAGTCAGGAAAATTTCAAAATGGAGGACGTACCATTTTGTGCTAGCTCTGGGGCCGCCAGGTAGGAGCGGCACTCAGCACTTTAATTCTGAGACTGAGTGTGCGGCACAGAAATTCTTTTCATCCAAGTTACATCCAAATCTGAAACGCAGAACACTGCACAGTCTGAAAACATGCCATGCCCTTCCACCTGCCTAAGCCTGATTTGGCCGTCTGCCCAGGCATGATGGTCGCAGAGCACTCTCCTTCTGATCCCAAGTGGGAACACAAACATCCAGTCCCATAAAAGCCATTGAAATGCTTTAAAACCAGAGTTCACGCTGGCAGCACAGCCCCAAGAAGCTGCGCTTTAAAATGACGCAGTGTTTTTTTCTGCTGCTGATGCCGAATCAGGAAATCTCTCTACAGCACGCCACCAACAAACAGCAAAAATCTGTGTTAAACTTTCTCTCCCTTATTTTTAAGCCTTCTCATGGTTTTAAGTGGATTTAGCCCATCACGTCTGGGCGCCACTCTGTAGTAGTAGGAGCGGCGGGGCTGTGTCCCCGGCACCCAGCCGCCCGAACTGCTAGCTTTACCCGAAATAATTACACGGAAACTGTATTCTTTTAAACACCGCTTGGCCCATTATATCTAGCCTTTTCTCGGCTAACTCTCGCACCTGGACTAGCCCATTTCTTATAATCTGTGTAGCCCACGAGCTGGCTTACCAGGAATGATCTTAACCTGCGTCTGCCTGGAGTGGGAGAATCATAGCGACTCACTCATTCAGCTTCTTTCTCCCAGCATTCTGTTCTGTTTACTCCACCCACCTATGTTTTAACCTATGAGGGTCAAGCAGTTTCTTTATTGCTTAACCAATGAAATCAACAGATTGATATATGACACTCCCACATCAGCTGGGGAGATGGTTAAGCAGGGAAAACTCTTGCAAGTCCCTCAGATGTCAGGGAAAGCCTGGTGGGTATTGGCCTCCTGGAACCCAAGCCTGCAGAAGGTAGAGAACCTTGGAGCAAATGGAATGGCTGACTAGTTGGGCACTGTACTGGAGAGCAGCACTCTGGGAGTTTGAATGCAGTCAACATGGTGCCAGGTTCAGTTGCAGTCCATGTTGTCAGGAGACAAGCAGGGTCCACTGCCCCTTTTCACCGTGTTCTCTATGGTGAGGGCTCCCGAGAGAGAGGTGTCAGCGACTTGTGGGGCTATTGCAGGGAAGCTCACGGGTGATGGGCACAGCAGGCAACTGAATGCTTCTGGGTTGGTGTAGTCCTAAGCGTTTAGTGTCAGAAGGGCTCAGGAATTTTCTGGAAAATTGCTGGGGATTTTACATAGAAAGTCAGTGTGTGTGCAAGCATGGCTGTGTTTACGGATCTCCTCCTTCCAGAGAGTGATTTCAGGTTGCCAGTTTGTACTGCAAGTGTCTTTACCCTTTAAGCCTCTTGCCAGCCTGAGAAAGTCAGTGCAGTAGTATATATGAAATAATTGCTAGAAATGCATGCTTATAGTTCCTGTAGGCCTATGGGGCATGTGGACCTAGTTTGTGTCTCCTGCATTCATCTACGCTCATTCCTGAGCAGTAGGATGGCGCATAATGCAGGAGGAGCAGGCGCAGGGCCTGCCAGCTCAGTGGCAGCAGTGGTCTGGGCAGCTAGCTGCTACAGTCAACCCAGAGATGGATTTATCAGGTGGCCCACTGTTGGGGTGGCCCTGCAGGGCCCCTTGACCTAGCTGGTGGATACAGGTCCTGGGAGCATTGGGCATGTCTTCTAAGTGTACCATTTTGGAACTGTGTTTTCTGATTTTTAATACAATCTATTTAGAAAACTTAGAATTGTCAGTACTTTGTTACCAAAATAAAGCTTTATTTCCTGATATAAAGCCCTCCAGTTTTGCAGAGAGGCTATTTTGTATAAACTTCTCCCACCCCAAGTAGCCGTGCCCCATCATTTATGCCAGTGTTCTCAACCTTTCAGGGCAGCACTGGGGCTGGGCTGTAGCTCAGTGCAGAGCACTTGTCTTGCATGCAGGAGATCCTGGGTTCAGGCTCCAGAATTGCCAAAAAGGGTGGGGGTCGCAGACAGCTTTGACGAGCTTCATACAGCCTGGGGCTATCCTGAAGATGTCATGGTATATACCGTATGTGGTCTGTTCCCCTATTTGAGTGGGGACAGTGACAGTGTAAGTCCCAGCTTGAGGAGTCACACGACACTGGAGCAGCAGGACTCCTTGGTGAGGCCCATGTGGCACATTTGCTGGTGGAAGCCTGTGCTGCCAGGAATCATCTGGAAGCACAGGACAGGTTTAAACCACAGCCCTGTCTTCAGAGGCCATATTTCCTTGGTGACTGTAGAGCCTCAAGTCCAGAAGTGGTGATTCTGGGGTACAGAGCAGATGTTACTTCTGTCTGCTGAGCTACTTAGCCTAAGGAAGGTGAGGCAAGCAGGTTAGACCAGTCCCACCTCCTTTCCTGAGACTGTTCTGGAACGAGGGTCAGCTTGTTTGCTCCGCCCCCAATGTTGTATGTGTGTGGGGAGGGGCACAGCAGGGAAGTATCTCATTGTGTGCCCCATTTGTCCTGAGTGGTGGGCATCACTGCCTGTGTGTGTGTGCTGTGTGGGTTAAAACTATCCTGCAGGAGAGGAGGCACCACCAGGCCAGCTGCTGACTCGGCCCCAGGCAGAAGCAGAGGAGACAAGAGCTGAGCCTTATCATTAAGCAGCTCCCAAACAGACGCCCTGGGGCTGCCAGAGCCCCTGGTGGGTCATTCATCTTCTAAGAGAGTGGTTCTCAACCTTCCAACGCTGTGACCCTTAAATACAGTTCCTCAAGTTGTGGTGACCCCCAACCACAAAGTTATTTCATTGCTACCTCATAACTGTAATTTTGATCGCTATGAATCGCAATGTGAATATCTGTGTTTTCTGATGGTCTCAGGTGACTCCTGTGAGTTGTTTGACCCCCAGGTGAGAACTACTGCTCTAAAGGGCAGTGTGTGGGGCCAAACTCCACGGCTCAGCAGTAGGCGAACCCCAGGGAGAGAGCAGATGCTAAGTGGCAGTGGGTATCTGTCCACCAGGTGCTAACACGGTTGGAAGGACTCATCAGAATCAGGGTGATCTGCTGGGCAACTGTTAACAGGACTCAGTTCCTGGTATCCCTCTAATGCCTTCCCCACCGACTGTGTAGCAACAGGAAGAGAGGGGCAGGTGGGGGGCGAAGAGCACTCGTAGAGTCCGAGCTGGGCTCCTGGGCAAGCCCATAGTGGCATCATCCTCACGGACCCGGTCAGCCATCAGTCTCATCAGGAGCTGGTCAGCCCAGGTGATGCCAAGGGCTGGAGAGAGGTGCTCATCCCAGGCCCTAAGAGACAAAGTGGGTGTTGCTGCTTGTCTGCTTGCCCAACCCCACTCCAGTTTCCAATATGCTGAGGTGCCCATACTCACCCCAGTGGCCTGAGCATAGACTCCTGCTCCTCCACCATTTCTGTCACCTGGAAAAACCCACCTGAGGGTCAGCGGCAACAGCCACCTCAGCTGCTTCCCCTCCCATCCAGTCAGTCCTGTTTCCCAAGGCAAAGGGCAAAGCCCACTAGCCTCAGCTACCTGGTTGATGCATAGCACAGGGCTCCGGAAGGTGCTGCTCAGTCTTCGGAGCATGGTCCCCAGTGACCGCAGGTGCTTGGCCCTGGTGGCCAAGGCCTGAACATCGTACTCACAACGAAATGGGGCTGCAACAGAGTCAACCACCACCAGGCGGGCCATTCCCCTTGACAGCAGAATAGGGACCCTCTTACTCACACACTCCAACAAGGTGTCCTGTGGAGGACATACATTGTGGTCTACACAAGGCACACCTGGCCAGCAGCCTCCATCTGGTCGTAACTCCCTGAGATCCAGCTTTTTGACACTTCCTGCCTGACTCCTGCCTACCTGGGATGGGGGTAAACTCATACCTGTTCCTTCAGTCTTACTCTTTTCTCACAAGAGCACCTCCCACTATCTCCCATACCCTCACCCTGAGTCCTGCAGAGGGGTATGGTCATCAGTGACTGTCCCTTCCAGTAGTTCCACTGTAGGTCCTGAGGTCACCCACCGGACAGCTCTGTGCTGACAGATCAGCTCACTAGGCTGTGGTCTAGAGAGCAGCTCTGCTTGGCCCCACTCAAATAGGGTGTGGGGGGAAGAGCCAGGTGCCCTCCTGGCCTTTGTACTGATGGGGCACGCTAGATGTGGTAGTCTGCTCTGCACACAGGAGGTACCATCCACTTCTAAAGGGGTTAAAGGCCTGCACCCTGGAGAAGATGCTGGTGGGGAGTAGGGACACTGGGATCAGCTCCCCTGCTGCCTACTCCAGGAGCTCTAGGCTTAGGGCAGAAATGTATCTCCCAAGGCAGGTGACTCTGGGCTTTCTTCTTGGGGCCACTGTGTCCTGTTGGCACTAGGCTTGGGTGACTTGTGATGTGGTCAAGAGCCTGAGTAGCTGAGTGGCCCAGGTCAGGGTAGGCTTGTGTGGGGAAGGTGGATGGCTGCTGTCAGGAAGGTCTTGCTTCACATGGCCACAGTGGAGTGGGGCGTAGGCCTGAGGTTGCAGCCATACCATTCAGAGTTCACTGTCTTCGGCTTCTGGCTGGCCAAGCAGGTAACCAGCACTGACACACTGGCAGCTGTGAGGAGCTGTCAGATTCCAGCATCCAGCCCAGAGTGAAACTCAGTCTGTACTTTTCTCTAGGGTGTCCCCAGCAGAGCCTCTTTGTGTGGAAAACGACAGCAGCAGCCTAGAAGACGCTAGCACTAACGTGAGTGTCTGCACCTCCCCTCAGCCAGGGCCTGGGTACCTTGGGATGGATGGCAAATGGTGGCTGTGCCTGCCAGTTGCATCCGAGCCTGCTTGCTAGCCGGTGTGGAAGGACAGGTGTGGTCAATACTGCTGGACTTATGCAGAAGAGGGGAGGTTCTGTGCTCACATCCTATTGAACCCTAGGGAGGCTGACACCACTCCCATTGCTGGGAAGACCCCAGGGCAGGAGGGGATGGAGCAGCTCCCATGTGGCCTAGCCTGATCTGCAGCTTTCTTTTACAGTGACCTGAGCCTGGCCTGCTCTAAACACCACGATGCTGCTGCTGAGTGTGGCTCCAGAGCTGGCCCTGTGAAGGCCATGGTGGGGCTGGGAGGGCCCTTGGCTGAGAGCCCACAGAGCTAACTTAGTTCCCCTGCCTACGTGCTGCGGAACACATACTAATAACCACACCACTGTAGGGTCCTGGAGAGCAACTCTTAGCCAGTAAGGTCGGTGACCTGGCCCTGCCTCCTTCTGGGAGGCCACTGGGACAAGACACATCTGGCTCCTGCTGCTTCTGCCTGGCCTTCCTGTGCCACTTCTCATGTGTTTAGTGCTCTGTTGTGTGTAATAATGTATTTTTATTGTACATTTTTTAAAATTAAAAGTTTATATCTCTTCCGTTTACCAGAATGAATGTCTGTTCCTAACTATAACCCCCCCCCCCCCCCTATTCTTTTTAAGACAAAATTTCTCTGTGTAGCCCTGGCTGTCTTGGAACTTTCTTTGTAGACCAGGTTGGCCTCAAACTCAGAGATCTGCCTGTCTCTGCCTCCTGAGCACTAGGATTAAAGGTGTGCCACCACCCAGCAACTGTTTTTAAAAAATTAAAATGTTTTATTATCGTGCATGTGAGTGACCCGTGTGCACACCAATTGGTGAGCATACAGAGGACAGTTTTGGAGTTGGTTGAGCCAGCTTGCCACCCTCTCAGAACACTCCCTAGCCAGCGATGCCCCAGGTGGGCACGCCAAGGGTGCTTGCCATGCCCGTCATCCACATCCATATTTGGGGTACAGGTTTAGTCCCTTCTCCGAACTCCAGAACGATCCTCATCTGTCACCCATCCCTGAAGACAAGAGCTTCTCTAAACTGAGCAACTGTCTTGGGCATGGCTCTGCATCCTGCTGCGGGGACAGAGCCCAGCCCAGTCACCTCCAGTAGCAGGTAAGCCCCAGGCTAAGGCAGCAGAGAGAGGGCTCTGCAGAAGCTTGTGAGTTCTCAGGACCCCTTTGCTACACTCCCAGGGCTCCTCCTCCCCCTTCTTTCCTGGGTAGATTGACAGACTCTGGGGAAGGAGTGATAGTGCTGGTTAAAGACAGGACCAGGGCAGATTTACACAGTACACTCAAGGCCAGCGGTCCTGAGAATGCTGGCCCACGGCACAGGGCAGCAGGCTCCCTGGTGAATGTGTTTACATCTAATGCTGCAGCCCTTCAGATCCTCATGTTGTGGTGGCCCCCAACCATAAAATTGTTTTGTTGCACTCATAACTATAATTTTGCTATAGTTGTGAGTCCTAATGTAAATAACTGCTGTGTGGAGTGTGACCCAGAGGGTCATGACCCACAGAAGGTTGAGAGCTACTGGTTTAGGAAGAACCCTTCCGCCATGACCTCCGCCCTATGGGTTTCTGGTCCTCTAGATCTTATTCTGGACATCCTTCCCGACTACCCTGACAGTGTATTCTGAGTTGAGCCTGGTCTCTGCACTAGGCCCCTGCACAGGTGACACTGGCTGAGTCACTGGGCCGTTTGCGAGCAGAAACAGACACTCACCACATCGGCCGCATGCTCAATGAAGATGTGGTTGCCGAACTTGATCTTCTGGACCACCTCCCCAGGCACATCTGTCCGCAGCTGCTGTTGCTGTTCAATGAGCTGCCACAGCCGCTTGCTGGGGAAGACATCCTCTGTGCAGATGTAGACGGCCCCTGGGAAGCCAGAACACTGGTGTGCACAAGGACTGGAAACGGACCTGTGGCCGCGAAGCCAAATGTAGCCTCTGCCTCTTACAAGTTTTCACCCAGAAAGGCAGGGGGCTCGACTTGCTTCTTAGCCCACCTGTGGCTACCTGCTGCTCCCTTAGAACACAGGCTAGCCCTCTACCCTGACACCTGAGTACACTCCCTGTTCCTGGATATCCTGCTAGCTCATTCCTGCTCTCTAGTTTCCTGCTGGGTTGGGCAGGACCGGACAGAGATCACCAGAGTTAAGGGACTTTGAAACATGTTCCTCAAATGCAGGACAACTCATGGACTCCCGCCTGTCTCAGGGTGATGCCAGAGGTAAGTGGAAGAGTGCACGACCAGGCATGAGCACTTGCTCACCTGGAACACGAGCGGTCCAATGGCCACCCAGATCCTGCAGCTGAAAAGAGTTGGGCCACTAGCAGGAAACCCTGTGCTTTTGGGCAGTAGGCTCTCAACAGAGATGCCAGTGCCTCAGCCGAGAAGTCTTCCCCATAGACGATACTGGGACTCTTGGAATCCACGGGCTGAGTTCTAGAACTCTTAGGAGAAAGATGCCAGTGGCTTGCTGAAGATATCAAACCACAGATAAGTGTTTTTCATAAGATGAACACCATTCATGTTTCAAAGGATTCAGGAAAGCAAAGATCACCTAGGTGGTGGTAGTGGCAACATAGCTTTAATTTCAGCACTCGAGAGGCAGAGGCAGACAGATCTCAGTAAGTTCGAGGCCAGCCTGCTCTAAAGAGTGAGTTCCAGGAGAGCCAGGGGTACAGAGAGAAACCCTGTCTCAAAAAACCAAACCGAACCGAAGATCATCCACAAAAGGAAGAAGCATAGTTGACAATATTCTGAATGCAAATAAAAATATTTCAATATTTCTGTTAAGGTAAGGTCTTACTCCCCAGGCCAGACTCTCTGTGGAGTCAGGCTGGCCTCCAACTTGCATTGATCTTCCTGCCCCTGCCTCATGAGAGCTAGGGTTACAGGTGTGAAGAACCACAGCTGGATGATGGTTTTTAAGACTCTGTAAGCAAGAGGCATTTTGATATGGCTCTGGGTCTACCAGGTATGTCCTGGAAGAAAGCACATCAGAGGCTCATACCACACTGCTACAGACTCAGAAATGCTGGTGGGGCACCAGCACTGACGCTGCTTCAGGAGCAGCTGCTGTACAAGACAAGCTGTGATAGGACAGGGAAACTGGAGCCTTCCTTCAGCCATGGCTTTTAGGACAGAAGCCAACGTGAAGTGAAGTGGTGTTGTGGCAAGGCCCCAGCTGGTGCAGAAAGGAGCAAAGTTCGGGAGTCAACTCGGTCTCCCTAACCCTGCTCCCTATCTTGGGCACAAATGGCAGAGACGTGGCTTGTTTTGCAGGTAGCTCTGACCATCAGCCCACAGAGGACCCAGGCAGGCGGTCTGGGGAGTCGCCCGGGGTCAGAGACATGCACATGCTGAAAATGCCACATGTTCTCTGTCCCACCTCTGTGGCTGTGGGCCTGATGCAGGGGTGAGGTGCCCCACTGAAGCTGTGTGACAACTGCGGGGTCAGCTGGTGCCCCTGCTTCCTTCCCACAGCCTGAGTACAGCTTCACCTTCCACTAATCTTCTAGAAGAAAGACAGTCATGGGAGACTACCCAGGAGACAGCCATGCCTCCCTGAGAGGAAAGTAGCCCCGAGCAGGGGGCCTGAGTGCCACCTGCCTTGGACCCTACACTTCCCCTACACTCCCAGGAAGGGGCAGCCACTCACCCGCCTCCAGGCCTCCATATTGCCGTGGAAATTGCACAGTCAGGCAAAGCTGTAGCGCCAGCTGGGTCTTCCCTGCCGAGCTGCGGCCAGCCAGGTCAGTGATGCCCTCCAGGGGCAGGCCTCCACCAAGGAACTGATCCAGGACAGGGCAGCCCAGGCTCAGGCGTTGATGCTGCTCAGGGAAGCGCTCCCTCTGCTGGAACAGCTGCAATGCTGCAGGGAGCACAGGATCAGCCATGCTTTCCGCCTGGCTTGTGCCCTGCCCAGCCAGCTAGGGCCTGTGAGCCTAAGGCCATTCAGGAAGTATTGGCTTCAGATGCAGCACAAGGACTGGCTAAGCATGTAGGCTGGGTGCTGAGGTCAGAAGGTAGGCCGACTGTGCAGCTGAGTACAGTGCATATATAAAAGTTTGTCCCCATCACACTTCCCAGGATGCTGCACGTATTCTAAGATATGGCCCTTCCCTAGTGGGCACAAGCTGCTAGAGAAATCCAAACCCTAGCAATTGGGAGGCAGAGGCGTCTCCATGAGTTTGAGGCTAGCCTGCGCTACATAGAACAGTCAGAATGACAGAGACCCTGTTTTTAAGAAAGAGAGAGAGAAGGAAAAAAAGGAAGGAAGGAAGAAAAAGGAAGAAAGGAAAAAGGAAAGGAGGAACCCTAAGCTTCAGGGTGTACAGGGTACGCTCAGCTGACTTTCTGGGCCTGTCTAGTTCTGGACAGCTTCAGCAAGAAGAGCAAACGAGGAACAGCAGCAGCCTGTGGCCATCAGGTTAGTCAGACATCAGTGAGGCAAAGCCGTTACGTGGATGCCATGTCCTGAAGAGGCAGGGCCTCTCACAGCTGCCCCTGCCACACCACTGGGACCCCGACTTCGTCCTTTGCTGTGAGGGCCTACTCTGGGGTGCAAGTACTCCAGGACGGCTGTAGAGGAGCTGAGGGCCCACCGCTCAGTGCGCTGTGCTATGGGCTCTTCTCTGTGGGCCCTAGACAAGTCACTTGCACTCTCCTAGGGGAGGCTGATGGGCTAGGGCAGTGCTGTGACGTCATTCCCAACACAGAGTCTGGAGCTGATGGGGTCGTCCACCCCATCACCCCTGCAGATGCTTTCCTGCCCACCTGTAAGGACACGGCTGCCCTGAAGGTGCAGAGCAGCCGCTCTCAGCAGATGCTGCACGTCGTGGGTGGGCAGGCTGGTGAGCCTCTGCAAATCTGGTCCCGAGTAGCACAGAACCTCCTTCACCGACTTCAATCTACCTGAAGTCACACAGATAAACCAGAGAAAAAGTGGACCACAATGAGTCAGGACACTCAGCAAGGGTGGAAGGTGAGGGGAGAGCTGGGCCACCAGATCTGGGGACACCTGGATTCACCCAGAAAGTATTGGGTAGTGTAACTAGTGGGTGGAGAAGGAAGGAGAGCCTGCTGAAGGGCCTGCCGCTGTGCCCTTGTGACCTGGCCCTGACTCTCATGTCAGCAGCAGCAGGAACCAGAGATGAGTGCAAATCCTGTGTGATATGAGAATGTGACTGTCGACCTGTCCCACTCTTTGTCCATTGTCCCAGCTACTTGGGAGGCTGAGGCAGGAGGGTCACTGAAGTCAAGGAGTTCAAGGTCAGGTTGAGCCACACAGCAAGACCCTGTATTTTAAAAGCAAAACGAAAAGTGTGAGTGGAGTTGGTGGGGGGTCTCGTTGACCAGGCTCGAAGCCCTGACATTGACAAACGGAGAAGGGACAGTGTGAAAGTGTCTGCACCACCACGCCAGGCTCGGGTAGACAAGAGGCTGGAGGGAAAGCAGAACTTAGAGGCAGACAGGCCAGGACGGGGCAGGAAGTGAAGGGCGCCTCACTACTAATGAACCAAGGGCCTGCTGCTTGGGGAGGAGGGGAAAGAAATGAGTGTCTTCATTTTCAAACCTGTTGAATGAAGAAAATATTAATTCCAGCACTGGGAGGCAGAGGCAGAAGGATCTCTGTGAGTTCCAGGCCAGCCAGGGCCATACAGTGACAGCCTGTTGCAGTTAAAAAGGAAGACAGCAGAAAGAAAAAAAATAACTGCAGGTGTGTCAAACCAGTTCCCACAATGGCAGAAAGAGCTGCCATGAAGATGCGGCCAGGGTGGCTTCACAGCAGCCACAGCGCTTCAGGGACGCAGGTAGGTGCAGAACGTGTTGCTCACTAGACAGAGTAGCCCACAGGCAGAGCTAAAAGATCTGAGACCCTCCCTGAAAAGAAGAAGACCACTGGGTGGTGGCCAGTACAGTACACGGACAGGGCCAGTAGCTTTCTGCAGCTTGTTTTACCCAGAGCACACATGATAGCTAGCTACTTCATACAACATACCCTTCTTAACTGCAGCAGTAATTCTGGGGTTTAGGTCCAGTTGATCCAAGTCCATTTCCTCACTGGGTTCACCACGAGCACGAAGAACTTCTAGAGACAGTGACGGCAACACATTTCAACGTGCTTGCTGTCGACTTGGACTACCTGTGGGAGCAGGCATGTTAGAAAGTGACTCTTGGAGGGCGGAGGACAGCTGCCACTGTCTCGGGAGCACTACCCATGAAAGCCCAGGATGACATGAATTTGCTCCATCACTCTCAGAAGGACTGGGCAGTTTGGAAGCCGAGGCTCACTCCAGAGTCCTGTCATTCTGTGCCTGAGGCCCAGTTGGGAAAGAAAGCTAACTGGTACGTCCTGCACCCACTTAACTTGCTGGGACATTTATGGGCCCAGGTCTCCATGTATGGGTCTCACTCAGCATTTATGGCCCAGGTCTCCATGCATGGGTCTCACTCAGTATTTATGGCCCAGGTCTCCATGCATGGGTCTCACTCAGTATTTATGGCCCAGGTCTCCATGCATGGGTCTCACTCAGCATTTATGGCCCAGGTCTCCATGCATGGGTCTCACTCAGTATTTATGGCCCAGGTCTCCATGCATGGGTCTCACTCAGCATTTTCTAACCTTAGGTGAGTTGGAATTCTGAAGGATGCTGGGGAAACCACACCTTGTCAGAGAATAACAGAAGGGGCAGAAAACACTTGGAGACCCTCCCAGGAAGGGACCTGGGGAGGACAGCACTAGGCCTCTTACCTCCTACTGGGGCTGGCTATGCTAGGATCAGGCACTGTTACAAAGGAAGCATCCAACAGTACTTGCTTGCTTGCAGTTCTTTTTAGCCACCCCACTCCCCACGCCCGCAGCCCCCACTTCTCAGACTAAATACCGAGTCAGAGAAAATTAAAACAGCTGTGTAAGTACAGCGCAATCTCATGCATCAGTTCAAATGACAACACCAAGAAGTGGTTTGTGTGTGTGTGCGTGCAGGGGGTGTCAAGCTTGCTGTGCAATCCAAGGATGGGGAGATCCAGCGCTGGGCGGGCCAGGTGGCCTGCCAGTATTCGCAGCACTAAGAAGGCAGTGACAGGGCATCCTCAGAGCAGGCTGATTAGTTGATCTGTGAACTTGGGGTTCAAGTGAGACCCTGCCTCAATATATAAGGCGAGTGATGGAGGAATACACCGGACGTCAGCTTCTGGCTTCCACACATCCAAATAGGTATATACATATATACATGTGTGTACAACACACACATACACCTGTGGGGGGTGCTAAGGTCAGTAGCTGAGGGCCAGCTGAATGTTGGATCAGCATCCTGTATGAATCTTAGCACTTTAAAAACAGCCCAGTCTCCAGTTGTAGGCACCAAAGGCTTCCCTGGCAGTGCTTAGGATGCAGTGTGGGCAAGAGTCACTTCCAGAGAGAACTCTATCCCCTCCCTTGCTACAAGGAGACAAAGCCTGGCAATCGTAGCATTAGGAAGGTCAAGAGACTGGAGCAAGCCTGGCCACAGCATTCCACCAGGCAGCTGCGGGGCTTAAGAACATGCCTCCTGCGGAGGACAGGAAGCTCCTGGCACCAGAACTCAAAGGTTTCCCAGGCCATCAGCTAACCCCGTCCGGTGGTGAACCAGAGCCATCACAGGGCTTGGGCTGACAGCAAGCTGGTGGAGGCTCAGCAAGGGACATAGATAGGCCAGGTTCTGGCCATGCATCAGCAACTGCCAAGGCCTTGAGGCAGCCAGGCCTGCCTTGCTCTACAAAGTCCCACCGAGCAACTTAGACTTCAATACCGAGGCCCCCTGTCCCAGACACGGAGCTCGACGCTCCACTTGGCTGCCTGCCTTCCTGTCTCCTGGCGAGGTAGGGCTACACCAGCCTGTTCCTCCAACTGGGGAGCAAGCAGGCTGTGAGGGAGTGAGCAAAGCTCCCGGCTCGCTGTTCTGGAAGCGAGGTAAACTACCCTGACACCAGAGGTTAGGTGCGCGCGGTGGGGGCTCACTCCTGTAGGAGTACCAGGAAGGCTGAGGTCGTGCCCGGCCAGCCTAGGCTACACGCACAGCACAGTGACATTCCTTTCTTAAGACCACCACTAGGAGGGGGCTGCAGAGACGGCTCCGCCTAATGCTGTTTGTGGAGGCGCTCGCGGGAAGGGCCGGGACTCTGGGTTCCATTCCCCCGAACCCTGCCTCGGGCCTGAAGGGGCGCCCCGCCGGGGAAGATCGTTCTCTGAAACCCGCGGACCTACCTCAGCCCTCCTCCGTAGCTCCACGTCGGGCCGCTCGCGGGTCGGTTCTCCGGCCGGCTCAGCCGCCTTGCTAGATCTCCCGCGCGCTCCGCCCGCTCCGGAAGCCCCGCCCACCCCAAGTTTCTCCTCCAATGAGCGGCTGGAGTCCGAGTCTGCCACACCCAGCAGAAGCGAAGAGGAGGCGACGTGGCTGATTAATTAGCCAATCCGAAGTAGCAAGCTCCTGGAGTGGGGCAGGAGGCGCCCCCCGGCCCTCACCGCCGATTGGTGGGCGGCAGCAGGGGCGGGAACTTTGAGCTGATTGGAGAAGGGCGGTACTGGGGAGGATACCACTCTCCGATTGGCTCGCGTTCCGCGCTGCGGTTGCGGATTGGGCTCCGGCGCTGTCATAGCGCCGGCGGGCGGGGCGGGGTGGCGCCCTTTCTGGGCTCGGCGCGGGCGGTGGTGTGAGGGGCTCCGGCAGAGACATGTCCTCGGGGGTGGCCGCGCGTCGCGACGCCAAGAAGCTTGTGCGCTCGCCCAGCGGCCTGCGCATGGTGCCGGAGCACCGCGCCTTCGGAAGCCCGTTCGGCTTGGAGGAGCCACAGTGGGTCCCGGACAAGGAGGTGCGTCCTAGCCCCGCGTCCAGAGCCAGAGCCTGGGCGTCTCCCGCCTCCGCCCGCGGGGCGCTCGGCCGCGGCTCCCGTCCAGCTGTCCCCGCCGTCCGTGGGGCGGTTTCTTTTCCTCGGCGGTCATTGGCTGCGCGGTGCAGAGCCAGGGGCGGTGGGGCGGCCGCGCTGTGGGCTGCGCGCGAGTGCAGGGCTGGAGTGGGTCTTTGGGGGCGAGGGCTAGGGAGTCACCTCCACCTGCTTGTGCAGTTGCGGTGCCAGGTAATTTGCAGTCTTCGGAGTTCTGAGCTCTGCAAAGCTTGGCCACTTGGGAGAAAATGGGAGCACTTCCACATTCCATGCGAGTTTATTTCCGAGGGAATTAAATATGTTTAAAAGGCATCCTCGTACTTAAAACTTTTTACTTTGATTTATTCGTGTGTGTTTGCGCCTTTGCCCCAATGCCATAGCGCGTGCGTGTACATTCAAGAACCATTTGTGAAGGAGAGTTTTCTTCTTCCACTGTGTGGGTCCCAGGGATGGAACTCGGGATTCAAGGACTATTTGTGGAAGAGAGTTTTCTTAGTGGGTCCCAGGGATGGAACTCAGTTCTCAGGTGTGGCCACACATGCCTTTACTGCCTTTACTTCGTGAACCTTCTAAGTTGACTCTGGTTAAGTTTACTCATTCATTCTTTTTCCGTAAAGTGGGTCCTTACTATATTATATAGCCCTGGCTATTCTGGAACTCAATACATAGATCAGGCTGGCCTAGGACTGAAATAGATCTGCCTGTCTCTGCCTGGTGCTAGGCATGCACTTAACTGTTGCTACGTAGACTAAGTGGGCCTCGAACTCACTGATATCTTCCTCCCTCGGCCCCCTGCATGCTGGAATTAAAGGTATGCTCCACCACACCTGGCCACCTCCCAAGTTTTTAAAGTTGGAATCTCTTCTTAAAGCTCTAATCAGCTGCTCCTCTCCCCTGTGGACCTCATCCACAAATGGGTGAGGCCCCCACAGCTTCTTAGAGCCAGGGACAGCGAGCATTGGGGGCTGGAGAACCTGTGCAACCAGCTGCCATTGGGCTGCCCTTGCTGCCACCCCTCTCCCAACTCTGAAATTACTTGAGAGTCCCAAAGAGAAACTTCATGTCAGACGATTGCTCTCTGTGTCTCTGCCCTCCCTGGCCGTGCGATTTCAGCCCTGCATGTTACCTTTGCATTAAGTATCTGTACACACAGATTGTTCCCTTCTCTCGTGTCTGTAAAGATAAGCGAGCACAACACCGCGTGCTCCTAACGCCCAGCCTGGTCTGTGTAGTGAGATCAGAGCAGCCTGGACCACACAGACACAGAAAGGGAGGGGGATAAGGTTGGGGGTGCAGCTACGGAGAGTTTATGGCCAGTCTGGGCTACATAGCTATTGCTGGGGAGATGGCTTTAGTGGGTAAAATTGCTTGCTGAGAATGCGGCTCAGTGTGACACCCAGAACTAGGCAGGCTAACTGTCTGCAGAGAGCCTAATAAAGCACGGATTGAAATGGGCACGTGGGGAGGCTGGTGGAAGAGTCCAGTTGGGGTGGGAAGCCATGCTTGTGGGGAACAGGAGTGTTCTTAATATTGCTAGGCCACTGGCTGTAGACTAACTTTCTCAAGATTTTTCCTCTTCTCCAAGGAGCCTTTAAGTTAAGATGTTTTTACCTGATGAAATCTCTGTATGACACTATAATTCACAGTGTTTCTGGTGCGTCCCCATAAAGTCTGGCCTGGCAGAAATGCCATGTCTGTGCCAAGATGGGAGGGGAGGTTCTCTGACAGGTGACTGTACCAAGGAGGAGGGCATGGGCTCTGCGACTGTCTGCGACTGTCTCTGGTCAGGCAGAAGGGCTGAGGGCGGGATGGAGGGGCAGGCTCCCACAGAACCTCAGAAGGTAGGGTAGAGAGGGGTTGCTCAGGAGGATGCGGGAGAGTAGCTGCTCTACAGTCCAGTCAGGAATCAGGCCTTAGCTCTACTTGGCACTTGAGAACCCAATTCAGCCTTATGGGACAAAGAATGGGGATTTGGAGTGCCTGCCAAACCTGGCTTAGTGCTGACCGGGGTGGAGGTGGGGGTGGAGCTGTGCCTGTGATCTCAGCTGGTCCTGGGGGAAGGGTGGTTCTTGGCCTGGCTAGGAAGAACTGGGACTTCACAGTGGTTTTCCAAGGATCACAGTGTAAAGTTCACCTTGTGCTCTTCCAAAGGCTGCAGGAGCCTCCCTCCCTGTGTGTTCTAGTTCTGGGACCAGTGGCTCAATGACAGAGGCTTGTTCCATGGCTGAGGAAGTTCCTGCCCTGCTTCCAGGCTGTAGCTAGTGTCTCAGTTCATTGTCTTTGAGTTGTTTGACAGCTCTGTAAACTAGAAAACCTGATAGCATCATTCTCAGGCAAACTCATTTCTTCCTGTGTATGTCTGCTCTTTGCTTTCTTGTCTGCAGGCTTGGTGCCCACAGAGGTCAGAAGAGGGTATTGGGTCCCCTAGAACTGGAGCTACGAGCCACCATCTAAGTCCTCGGTACTGAACCCAGGTCCTCTGCAAGATCAGCAAGTGCTCTCAACTGCTGAGCCATCTCCTTAGCTCCTCCTAAGCTGTGTTTTTTTTTAAACAACCCATTGGTGTATATGTGTTGGTGTGTGTGTGTGTGTGTGTGTGAGTGTGACTCGAGACCAGGCTTCAGTGTGTCTCCTTCAGTCACTCTGTCTTAACTTTTCCAGATGGGATCTCTCCCTGCATCTGGAGCCACCTCTTGGCTGGCTGCCCAGTGCACTCCAGGGATCTGCTTCTTTCCACCTGCCTGGTGCGGGGATTGTCAGGTGCAGGTGGCTGTGGGCATTCTGGGATCTGAACTCAGGTCCTCATGCCTGAGTGGCAGGTGTTTTACCCATTGAGCCCTCTCCCTTTTTCAGCTTTATCATTGTGTAAGTGTGTCTGGAGTGTGTATGCGTGTGCACATGCCTGCAGGTGTGTATGTACCACCCTGCACATGTAGAAGTTAGAGTACAACTTTTTCATGCTTATTCCAGACCCTTCCTTTCTCTTTTTAAAAATTTATTCTTGTTTTCTGTACATCGGTGTTTTTGCCATGGGTGTTGGGTCCCCTGGAACAGGAATTACAGACAGTGTGGGCTGCCATGTGGGTGCTGGGAATTGAACCCAGGTCCTCTGGAAGAGCAGTCAGTGCTCTCAACCACTGGGTCATCTCTCCAGCCCCAGAGGACAACTTTTGAGGGTCAGGGTCAGTTCTTTTCTTTTGCCATGGGGTCTGGGGTTGAACCCAGGCCTGGCAGCAAGCGCTTTACCCATTGAAGTAACTTTCTGTAAACAGCTACTTAAGCTTCAGTATTGAGGCTACATTCACCTGTGCTTTCCTGTCTGCTGTCAGACGTCCCTGAAGGTGCAGTGGACGGCTGGTTCCGAAGCGCTGGGGTGTTGGGTTGCTAAAGTGTGCATTGTGGAGGGAAGGCAGACTCCATCTTCCAATTTCTCCGCTCTAGGTTTGGTTTTCCCTGGACCCTTCTTGTTTCTTGCTGGCCAGGGCTGTCTCACTTAGCTGGAACACCTTCTGAGTGGGTGCCATGAGTCAGGCGTGGTGACCAGACCGACAGTGAATCACAGCTGCTTGGGGACCTGATGCTGGGGAGGGCAAAGGTGGAGGTTTTCTGGGCGCACCCACTCTTACCTGTCCTGTCCCTTTGTTTCCTGACTAACCAGCTCATTCCCCATCTTGGGACGGTAGAAGCCCAAGGCACCTTAGGGGCACAGGAGAGTACTGCAGCCTGTCCTGCCCATGCCATGAGTAGTGTCTGTCCTGGTGGGTTTGTCTGTCCAGCCTTAGTGTCATAGTCCACTTGTTGGCGTGACATCTGTCAGAAACCAGCCTTGATGGGATTCACACGTTCCAGAGTAGGGGCGTTTGGATTAGAAGTGTTAGTTAGGAGGAACAGAGATATGAAAGAATACAGACATAGGTAGAACAGGGAGGGCTGTCCACTGAATACGCTCATGTTTATTTTCTTATATTTTTGGTTGTGAGCCTAGCCTTTCACGGCTGAGCCATCCCTTCAGCCCGCCCATGTTTAGTTTCTATCCGCTTATACACCCCAATCCAAAAAGTGTTGGAGGTGGCAAAAGACTGCTTTAACATGGCACGAGGACAAGCAGAAGAATTACTTGCTTCAGTATTTGAGACATTAAGCCGCTATTTCCCAAGTTAAGCATTCCGATGTTTTAGGCAGGACATGCAGCCAAGTTTTGTGTAGGTAGCCAAACCTCCTGTCTTATCCTTGAAGGAGCAGGAATTCTCTGACCTTTAGTCAGGACATCTTGTTTGTAGACACTCCTTAAGTCGGACTTGTCAGTAACTTTAACACAAGGCTTCAACTCTCTGACCTTCAGTCAAGGTGGAGCAGACCACTTCTGTGGGCCCCCACACCTTGGCCAGAGGCTCAGACAGCAGGTAGGTCTCTTGGGGACACTGCACTAGCTGATTCTGT